TGGGGAGGGATAGGGAAGGGTGAGGAGGAGTGAGAAGGGTGAGGAGGGGTGAGGAGGGGTGAGGAGGGGTGAGGAGGGGTGAGAAGGGTGAGGAGGAGTGAGAAGGGTGAGGAGGAGTGAGAAGGGTGAGGAGGAGTGAGGTTTAGGGAGTCTGAGTGGAGTAGGGTAGAACCCAGAGGGTTCGGAGTCGTGGTGGTCATCCCGCCCAGGTCTCCTGCTCACGTCCATGGTCCCACACTCCCTGGGCCTTCTCTTCCCTACAGGTCCTCTCGCCCCCTGTCCTTTGCAGCCCCACTGCTCTGGCCTGAGCCCAGCGTCACCAGTAGCTCTACTGGTGCCCTGCTCACCCTCTGCTTCCCGGTGTTTGCTCCTGAAGGCCCTGGGACACCTCAGCGTCTCCACGGTCCTCAGCGCCCAGGTCAGGACTGCGGCGACTGACCGTTAGGATAACCTCCCAGCTGACTCCGCCCTGCCGCTGGCTCCTCCCTCTCCCTCTGACTCCGCCCTCTCACCCACTCCACCCCATTGGCTCATTGACTATGACTCCTCCCCTCACTGACTCCTCCCTTCCTTCTTCCTCTGCTCCTCCTTCTGACTTTGCCTCAGTCTTACTGACTCCGCCTCTGTCTTTGACTCTGGCCCTTGAAGGTGTTCCAGAGCTCTGTGACTCCGCCCATAACCCTCTGGCTCCGCCCCTCAACAGGCTCCCCCGCTGGTTGACTGCTCAAAGCTTTCACTGACTGCGCCTCCATCTCTTACTCCACCTGTGGCTGTGCCCCACTCTGATTCTGCCCCACTGAGGCACTGACTCTTCCCTGCCCTCTGACTCAGCCCTGTTTCTGACTCTGGCCCCTGTGAGTGACCTTCTTCTCTCACTGACTCCACTTCTCTAAATTCTCTTCACTCTTCTCACTGACTCCGCCCTGCCCTTCTGACCGCACCTCTGCCTCTGGCTCCGCCCCTCCCTTTGCCTCACTGATACCTTCTCTGCTTCTGACTCCGCCCCAGCTCTGCCTGGCTGACACTCCTTTACATCGCTCACAACCTCCCCGTTCCAGTGCTGACCGCTCCCTTAGTGCATTGTCCAGGCCAGTGTGACCCTTCCCATGGCAGCAGATGTCTCTCTCCAGTATGCATCCGGCAGGGCAGGGATGTGTGGTTGGGTGTGCTTCTTTCCTAGAGAAACCGCTTKCATGGCACAGTCGCACTATTGGGTGGTCAAGGGGCAGGATGGCTGTGCTGTCAGTCAAGACTCTTGAGCCGCCTGAGAGTGAGAGCGGGTGAAACCTGCAGACCATGTGTGTTGCCAGCGCCACACTGTTCACTGCTCTTTCGCCCAGAAAACGTGGACAGAATGTAGGAGGATTCTCTCTTTGCATGATGCACGATGCCCAATGCCCAGTAACTGCATATGACTCTGCGGAGATTGTTATCTTAAATCACTGGAGAACGTGCACTGGAGAAATACGTGTGCTGTTAGGACTGTGGAAATGGAGAGGGTACTGCGCACAGACAGGGTCACCTGCTGGTGCAGCAGCGGAGAGCAGCTTCCCTCATTACCTTCCCCATAAGTCGTGGATGCACATACAGTATGATGTAACCACACAAAATACCACAATATTACATAAAATAGTTAATACTTTGTGCATATGTCATGAAATACATGGTATATAGTTTCACCAAGAAAATATCTACATATATACCTACACAAATATATTTAGATGTGCTAAGTAGTGGACTTAGTGAACCTGACCAAAAAAAGAAAAAAATGCTACCCCTTTATGTTTTAAATTACTACCATATGGAAATCTTTTTAGTCTGATGGCTTATTAAACTAGTTTTTGTCAATAGAGTACTCTTGGGGCAAATAAATAAGATTCAACAACTGAGTTCATCAAATTTGCTAACAACTACTATGCACTATTTAAATTTTTTTGAACTTCTTCCTTAAAGAGGAAAAAAACTGCTGGATATTATGCAGCCATATATTACAATTTTTATCTTATTGCAAATTATAGTTTTAATTTTTCCACATTAATAAAAAAATCCCACAAACAGTGGAAAGCACATTAAAGTACCTGCCTTCTCACCATTTCAAATTTAATGGAAAAGCTTTTTTTTTTTTTAGTGGGGGGGTACTGAGGATGAACTCAGGGGTGCTCAACCACTGAGCCACATCCCCAGCCCTTTTTTATATTTTACTTAAAGACAAGGTCTTGCTGAGTTGCTAAGGGCCTCGCTGAGTTGCTGAGGCTGGCTTTGAACTCACAATCCTCTTACCTCAGCCTCCCAAGCTGCTGGGATTATAGGCATTTGCCACTGTGCCTGGCTGGAGAACTTTAACAGATTTTTCCATATTTGTCTTAGTCTCTGCCTTTAAAAGAATTGTCTTGGTCTTTCTTAAAGAAAGAGCTCACATTCTAAGTCAATTTTCAAGGAGAGAGGAAAGGTAGAAAAATAATTTATATGCATTTTTTAAATTTGAGCCTCAGTGGGGGATCATATTTCAAATTTTTGTTCATAGTTTTTCATGCTTTTGCAAATTAATGCTTGCTAAAAACCACATGAGATTAAGCAAGCAGAATCAGCCTCACTGGGACACAACAGGCTTCTCATAAGATGTGATGCTTCCAAATACAAACCCAGAAGAGTGGAATTGTTTTAGGTTAATAGTGAAAATTAGGACTCCCCTTTTTGAGTGGAGTCCATTTCATCCATTTTGTGTCCCTATTCAGTGTAATCAGTTTGTTCTTAACAATAGAATTGGCTTCTCAGGATACTTTGGATGTAAATGAGAAAAAAAAAAAAAAACAGGGAAGAGAAATGCCTGGTTTGTGCCACTTGGTGTAGAAGTCAGGGGTGAGCACACAAAGGTCACGGCTAAAATAGCTTACATGTCTGGCTAAAGAAAYGCTAGGCGGCTCTGCAGCCACCTCCCTGGAACTTGCCAGCTGTCAAAGCATCTTGGAGCACGTCACAAAGCAGTGACAGGGGAAAATATATATAACAAGAAATCTTACACAGACGCTTCAGTTGGAAAAAAAATGAACGTGTATTTTAATGAATTATAAGATGACCTTTCAAAATTATGACAAAAATAACTTTTCTAAGGTCAATTCCAAGACTATGATATCCCACCCAGGAGTTTCAATACCAATAGTTTATTTACTGCCATAATTAGTTTCATTTCTCATGCTGCACTCTGCCCAGGGTCTAGCTGACCTGTATATAGATTATAGGTATGTTAACATTTATGGATGTTTCTCGCAAATTTTTGCAAAAGTTTGCATAGAAAAGGAAGAGCAAGGAAACCCGTGGGAGGGGGTGGAAGAATGGCATATGGAGATCAGATTTAGGGGCCAAGTGAAGTAATTTTAGAGTCACTGGAGTGCCTGAGATGAGGAAATAGTCAAGAGTGAAAGGACGCGGGTGCTTTGGGTTCATGGGAGCCTGAGGAAGCACTGGAATGAAGAGAATTCACGAGGGGCTGGGGATGTGGCTCAAGCGGTAGCGCGCTCGCCTGGCATGCGTGCGGCCCGGGTTCGATCCTCAGCACCACATACCAACAAAGATGTTGTGTCCGCCGAGAACTAAAAAAAAAAAATTAAAAATTCTCTATTCCCTCTTTACATCTCCCCTCTCTCCCTCTCTCTTTAAAAAAAAAAAAAAAAGAGAATTCACGAGAAATAAAGCAAGAGACACTTGAGCAGCCTGAGGACTGAGGAACAACAACCCAGGAACATTCTGGAAAATTTCAGGAATGCATGCCGACTGCGGAGTCAGGCTTTGGGGAGTTGTGGGAAGAACAGATTTCTCTCAAATCCAAGAGGCTCTTGTGAAAAAAAAAAGAACTTGTGATTTCCAGGAACAAAAGCATTGGCGCTTTCCTGGGCACAGGAAGCAAGGGTGCAGGATGAAGCAAGACTGGAAAGCCAGTCAGAAGCCAGGTGTGGAGGTGCACGCCTATAATCCCAGGGACTGAAGCAGGAGGATCTCAGGTTCAAAGCCAGCCTTGACAATTGAGTGAGACTGAAAGCAACCTAGTCAAACTCTGTCTCAAAATTTAAAAAATAAAAATATAAAGAGCTGGGAATGTGGCTTAGTGGCTAAGTGCCCCCATGTTTGGTCCCTGGTATGAAAAAAAAAAAAAAAAAAAAAGCCAGAGCCAAGCACAGAGCTATAGAGAGCCAAGGGAGTAAGGAGCCAGACGTGGAGCAATTTAGTGTCTGCAGAATGAGTTCAGGGTGTTGTGGTGAGTTGCCTTTGCCTCAGGTGCCTGATATCCCAGTCCCTGAGAGGGAGGGACAGAGGAGAAGAGAAGGTCCTGACCACACAAAACATGGGCACTGGTGTTTGCAGAACAATCTGCAGCTCCTGGCCTGCCCTGGAAAATCAGAGCACAGAGAGCAGGGACCCTCTCTGGAGTGCTGTCATGGGCAGGTTCCATCACCATTTACATTAAACATATGACTTTGCCACCATGTTGTCATCACTGTACCCCTGAGAAACCCTGCTCCCACTGCGTATTGCCACCCATCTGATTGCCTTTCTGCCAGACTGGGCACCACATCCCCACCCAGCTTGATATGTCTAAAATTCAGCTTGGGTCACCCCGTGCCAGCCTGCTTCTCCCATATGCATCTGGTGACTCCAGCTCCGAGCCTCTGGGTGGCCTTGGGGCTTCCTCTCCACCTCCTTTCTCTCCTCAGGCTCCACATTCTGTTTTCCTTTGGCACATCTCCTGTCGGGTCCTYGCCTCTCCAACACAGTTGCCACTGCCTTTATTCAGACCCTGGTGGCCTTGTACAGAATGGCAACGGGGCTCCTATCTGCCCTGGGAGGCCATCACTCAGTCTCCCGCCACCTCAGTGGAACACATGGACAGCCACCTAATGAAACAGGCCACACGCCATGGCAATGATAGGGCTTCACTGGTCTTCTCTTTCAGCACATTTCCCTAAGCTAAGTAGAGATTCTGCTGCTGAGAGAAGCAGAGTCCTACTATCAACATATCAACAGATGAGTCTCCTGGGGTGCTTCCTATAAGCTTCCTTGTCCTTAAGGTCCTTCGGGAAACATCCTATGGTCACCAGGTTCCATGCAGGGGACACCATAAAGCAGTCGCTCATGTGGATTTTCTGACACTTGCAACAACATGTTCTTCTTCCTCTTTTGTTGGTCTTGGTTGGTTGTTAAAAAAAACAGTTTCAAAATAAAATGAGAACGTTTTCTTTGGCAGTTTTTCTTTTTTTCTAAGACAACCGATAACACTGATAAAACCCTGCTGGCTCTGATTAGTTAATAGAGTAGCAAGGTGTGAAAAATATTTAGGGTTTTACTCACCTCCCTATGATCATGTAGGACTCAGCGACTTCCAAAACGATATGAGGTAGTGGGCTGAGTAGTTCATTGTCTGGCATCTTCTCCCA